AACGTTTCAGTCTTGTGTTAGTAATAGACGATGAAGAGTTAGTACGAGATTTGTTTGTTTTTTCTTTTCTGTCTTCTTTATCATTTGTTTCTTCCTTCGTTCCACGTTCGTTTACATTACTTGTATTACCTTGTTCGATAGTTAGGCCTTCTTTAACAGTCAAAAATAGAACCCTTGAGTAGACATTAGAACAAAAAAAACAGTAATGACCCATGCACATAGCTGGATACGATGCCAAAGACAAACGACGCAGTTTTTTCGCGAAGGTGCGAAGAATCGGCAACCCCGCCGCCGGGTGCAGTGAAGATCGATGCCGCCGCCTGACATCGGTCTGGGTCGCTCCCGGTCGTTCACCTGTTTCATCCCCCGATTCAACCCCTAGCTCTCTCACTCGCTCTGTGTGTGTATACGCTACAAGGCGAGGTTTCGCGGGAAACGAGGGCTACGTTCCCTCCATTGGAGTTTCCGCATTCTCTCTCTAGCGTGAATTCCTAGCTGAGGACGAAGCGCTAGTTCAAGGTTTGCATCATGCAAATTAGAACAGACGGTTTACCCCCGATATTTTTTTGGATCTTGATTGGAATTATTGGGATGCATTAAACAGATTCGATACTAAAAAATGTCAAAAGGTACCGCTTAAAAAAGAAAACCTTCTCTAATGATTTCAAGAAAACCAGATTGAAACCCTCAGAAAAACAACTTGGACTTTCTTAGATGACTACTGGAGAATTTTGCATCATTATCTTCAGCTGAAAGCTAAAAAAATTCAGATTACTTTAGACCTCAAACCTGCTGATCATCGTGTGCGTCGCATTTTCGTGGTTTTGGTTCTAGAGCAGTTGAAATTCTATCCAAATTTTGGTTCAAAAGTCATCTGTTTGGATGAAACCAATTTCTGGATATGTAGGTACGTAAATAAACAAAATTGTAAGATTTGGGCTGATGAGAATCATCAAATGATTCACGAACTGCTTCTATATCTTAAGAAAGTGTAGTTTCTAAGCATGGAGTAATTAGCCCTTATGTTCTTTAAGACCAACATGGAAATCATGTTACTATTAATGGCGACTGCTATAGGATTATGTTAAGAGAATATTTCTGGTCTCTACTGTTAAATATTAACTTGACTAATGTTTCTTTTAACTAGAACCAAATGCCACACAGCTCACGAGACCATCGAATTGTTACATTTGCAGGAATGGATCTAATGCCCTTAACTTTTTTTTATGGGGCTACGAACGATTCGCGACCCCAAAGAGAACATCACACGCAAAATTTAAAATTTAAAACCCGATATGTTTGATTGTTTGAATTCATAACTGTACTAAGCCTGGCAGAAAAACTGGTATGTACACATTTAAATTATAAATACAAAAAGATCGATATTAAATTTTTATCAACAAAAAATGTGTCAACACCAGTAAATGAAGTTACTTTTATGATGCTTGAGTATAAATCATTCTTTACTACAGCTATTACCCCACCACTTCTCAAAATACCGGTTATGTTTACGGTCAGCTCTGTAGACATCAAATTAATTAAGATCAAATAATTCATCATCCATAGAAATTTCTAAAATTCTATCTAAAACCTTCCTAAAGGTTTTTTTTTTCTAGACCATCGACAATCTTCTTTACCAGCGTGTACCTCACAAGAAATAAAGTCAAAAACGAACAATAATTTATATCAATTTGAAATTTTTGGAACCAGTACTACGTAAATTTCCCCAGGGGTTTGTTTTAAGACTTCTCTTTTTCGTGGTTTATACAAGTGACTTACATTATCACATCAAGGGCTTTCTACGGTGACGAAACAAGATCTAATTAGATCCTACTTTAAACTCGTGTTAATTTAACACAGTTCAATTGTAACAATTTTATATTCATTATTGTGCTTTGATCTAATGAATATCAAATTTAAAATATGAAAATAAAACAAAAAGATGCCCACACTTATAGATATTTGTAACATGTGTACAACTCTATGAAAGAGATAAATCTGATAAGAAATATATTTTATAAAGAAACACTTGGAAATATTAGATTTATATCTAAAAAAAAAGTACATAACGACAGACGCCATAAAAAAAAATGATAAAGTATTTTGCATCTCTCCAGTATCTGCACCTGTTCCTGGTTGTCTGGCATTTTTGCATATGAATTATGTTAGATAACAAATCTTCTTTTGGCTGATCTTTAACGCATAATTTTTAACAAATCAAAAATATCTAATGAGTTTCGCAAAGCAATGTAGCAAATAATAATAATAACCGTCCCTTTCCCCGCACAAGCTCAACTTTTGGGGTTAAAATTCACTCATAAGGGGGTAAATTAGGGACAGTATTATTATTATTAGAATAACTATGAAAATGTCTGTCTATATTAATAATCTCCTATAATTCATAATTATCTGTTCTTGTATTAATTTCAACAGTTTTTTGAAAGTTACACTATACGCCCTGTAGATTATTTTCGTCGATTGGAATCATCGATCTTTACTCCGTTCTCTGATTTTGACACATGTCAGTATGGGGGAAAATAGAGAGAGATTGATGCCGAGGAGAAACTCTAGAAAAATGAAGTGTTCAGTGTTCACACTCAAAAACATACCCTTGTGTTATTTATCGACTATGCCGCAAATTAGGGGGTTGGTCGGAACAACACTTTCTTGGTTAATGAATATTGGATAGAATGTATTTAGAGCAGACTTAAATTGAAAATAATGGTTTGATATTATCGTAAGATAGTTAAAGGTATAAAATATACATAGGAGTCAAGTTTAAACTAGATTTAAAGTACACCTAGTGGTGCAGTCAATTGGTAGATCATATTAAAATTTCGAAACAAATCTCAAAAATACCCCTATAAACTTTTAAGATCATTCCCGAACCCCAAAGGTAAAAACAAATACTTGAAGATTTGAAAAAAGCTTGTTCTAGCCGGGGATCTTTTGAGGATCTAAGAGGACGAAGGGTATGATTTTTTTAGAAGTCACTAAGAAGAAGGATTGTTTGAAGACTTTTTTTTAGGAATGTGTTCCAAAAAAGTTTGAGAAATGCTGCTATAGACCATCCACGACATTGATTATTGTCGACATTCCTAGACGAAAATTTGATGTGCACAAAAATGATACAAAAATGATACAAAAATGATACAAAAATGATACAAAAATGATACAAAAATGATACAAAAATGATACAAAAATGATACAAAAATGATACAAAAATGATACAAAAATGATACAAAAATGATACAAAAATGATACAAAAATGATACAAAAATGATACAAAAATGATACAAAAATGATACAAAAATGATACAAAAATGATACAAAAATGATACAAAAATGATACAAAAATGATACAAAAATGATACAAAAATGATACAAAAATGATACAAAAATGATACAAAAATGATACAAAAATGATACAAAAATGATACAAAAATGATACAAAAATGATACAAAAATGATACAAAAATGATACAAAAATGATACAAAAATGATACAAAAATGATACAACAATGATACAAAAATGATACAAAAATGATACAAAAATGATACAAAAATGATACAAAAATGATACAAAAATGATACAAAAATGATACAAAAATGATACAAAAATGATACAAAAATGATACAAAAATGATACAAAAATGATACAAAAATGATACAAAAATGATACAAAAATGATACAAAAATGATACAAAAATGATACAAAAATGATACAAAAATGATACAAAAATGATACAAAAATGATACAAAAATGATACAAAAATGATACAAAAATGATACAAAAATGATACAAAAATGATACAAAAATGATACAAAAATGATACAAAAATGATACAAAAATGATACAAAAATGATACAAAAATGATACAAAAATGATACAAAAATGATACAAAAATGATACAAAAATGATACAAAAATGATACAAAAATGATACAAAAATGATACAAAAATGATACAAAAATGATACAAAAATGATACAAAAATGATACAAAAATGATACAAAAATGATACAAAAATGATACAAAAATGATACAAAAATGATACAAAAATGATACAAAAATGATACAAAAATGATACAAAAATGATACAAAAATGATACAAAAATGATACAAAAATGATACAAAAATGATACAAAAATGATACAAAAATGATACAAAAATGATACAAAAATGATACAAAAATGATACAAAAATGATACAAAAATGATACAAAAATGATACAAAAATGATACAAAAATGATACAACAAAAATGATATAAAAATGATACAAAAATGATACAGAAATGATACAAAAATGTTTTATAAAAATACTCGAATGACTCATAGCAATCTTAAATTTTAAATAATTGGGTTCATTTTATATTAGAAAGTGTATTTTTGAAAATACGTATATTACTCTTACTAAAACTTCTTTTGTTGCAGTTATACAGGGTGTTAATTAAGTATGTGCCTTAACTTTTATGAACTCTTCTTTGAGTGATGCTAAGATGAAAATTTCACATAAACACGAATCCGCAAATGTTTCTTTTTCAAGATACAGGGTGTAATAGTTTTTTTTTAAATCGGTTTTTCGTAATATCATAAATACCCTTTAGCTGATTTTCTTGAAATTTGTCAAAATTAATTATAATCGTAAGAAGCTAATTTAAACCCAAGTAGATTAAAATTATTGAATCCAGTGACGTCCTGGTGGCCTCTTAAAAAAAAATATTGATTACAAAAATTAATTCATTGACGGTTTTGGAATTTTTATATTTTTTTTCAGTTTAAGTAACTAAAAATACACAAATTTGTTTTCTCTTGATTTTTTTTCATTGCTTTATTAATATACATTTTTTATGATATTACGAAAAACCAATGAACTTTTTATCTTAGCATCACTTAACGATTCGTTCCTTAAAGTGTATCTTCATTTTTAAAATTTTCTAAAAAATTCATATTTAAAAATTTGTTTGAACAGCTTTGGTAAATAAAAGTATTATTAGTCAACTTGAAATGTCTAATAATCACTTATCAACAAGATTTGTATTATCTGATCTCTTTATAATTTCCAGTACTACATCGGGTTTGATGAATATCATCGATAAAAATATATCGTGAAATTTTATACTATAATGAAGTTTGGAATTTCAGTTTTAATTATTTTTTATTTCAATGGGTGAGTCAATGATTTTCTTTTAATTGTGTTTTCGAATTTTCACTTACAACTCGAATTTAATCATATTGTGTGTCTTAGAAATGAAGCCTAATCATGAATCCCATACTTTCCTTCTGTACAGAGACAGGAAAGTTAAAAAGATCAATGTAATATTGTTTTTGTTTCTAAAATTCCTTTTTAAAAATACCTATGTTGTACTTTTACTTTCTTTTTGAATGTCTGATGAAACATTTTAGAAGTCATCTTTTCGAAGTAACTCATTAAAAAATATTATTCACATTTAATGAATTAAAGTAATAATTCCTAATATTAGCTTATTTTGCATACAGAGCATTGAGTTTACACCAGTCCGCCTTGATACATAACTTCACAGATGACTTTAGCTTTGGAGTTGCAACTTCAGCCTACCAAGTGGAAGGTGCTTGGAATACATCTGGAAAAGGAACGAGTTTTTGGGACTTTATTACCCACAATCGTCCGGAAATAATTGACGATCGTGAGTAGAACAAAAAAAATAATTTGAAAATTCTTCTTCATCATCCGAATTTATTTTGCAAATCACAACACAGACAAAATAGCTTTTGTAAACTAGATTATGTTAATCACCTTAAATTTTTAAGCGCTCATTCTTGAGGGATTAATTTAAACTGTAGTTTAGTTTAACTAAACGTAGTTCACTTGTCGGTGGAAACAAAATTAGATTTAAATCGTTTAGCAGTTAAGGAATGATTGTTTTTAAAACTGTTATATAATTGTGTATCGTCAGCGTAGGCTTACACTTTACAATTTTTTATGGATTTGATAAAGCAAGAAGTATAAATTAAGAAAAGGAGCGGTCCCAGGACACTGCCTTGGGGAACATCAAATAAAATATTCCTAGAATTCGAAAATGTATTATTGTAACATACACGTTGAGATCTGTTGCTTAAATATGATTTTATCAACGCAACTGCTGCATAATGAAAACCATAATATTTCAATTTTGATACCATCAACCTGTGATCGATGGTCTCGAACGCCTTAGAAAAATCTAAAAGATACTAAACCAAATTCTTGGTAAAGGAGGAGTTTGTGTATAGGTTTATGCTTAAATGGTAGTTTGATAGGATTACTTGATACTGGCAAATTTGTTCTATTGTGGAATAAAATTAGTACCCAAGTTGTCTTGTTTTAAACCTATATTAATTTGTTGAAATGCTCCATATTGTTTCCTGATACTATAGCCCTAACCTCAAGGTTAATATCTTTGATGGGTCTTAAACTTTCAATTTTTATTTCGGGTATATCTTTCATAATTATGATAGCAGTAGTTTGTTGAAAACATTTAATACATCATTAATTCTATTCCCGGAGTAAGAATTTCAAACTATAAACTTGGATCTTTCCTATGTAAAATTATTGTAAGCTGAAGGAAGTTTAGTGTAAATAAAAATGTTAATTGGAAAATAAATTTAATTTCATCATAATCCAATAAGAATCTGTCTGCATTATAACTCTCCACTGCTCCCAGCTGATAGGAAGGAAACCCTTCTTTCCCGACGATGATTGAAAAGAAACAAAGTTGCAGAGAACATTCTTTTAAGCCGAATTTAGAAATCATCGTTGTCCTAGAAATCATTCATTTTTCAACAAATTGACTTATTTATAAAGATCATATGATTCTTTGTACAGATATATACCAAAATTTTCCATGTAAATTCACTTAATTCCATCGCGACAGGTGCCTTTTTTTAATTTATTTTTTATTTTTAAATAAATCTAAATTCTTCAAAAGTCTTTCAAAATCATTAAAAAAGGTGTTCCATATTAGTGACCACACATACTTTTACATTTGCTTGTTGGATTCTTTCTTAAAATTTAAAAATTAGTCGTTAGACTGCCACGGATAAAATGGTTGTTACAGAAATTGGCGTTTTTGACGGGAATAAAGGAGTGAGTCAAGTGAATATGCCCCATTTAGTTTTGACACTGTAAGGTTACCTAACCCCTTTATCTACTAATTATCTCGTCACATGGGGGAAATGTAACAAGTTTAGAGACGTGGGTAGGTTAAATACAAACATATTAAGTTCTTATGTATTAAAAAACTGATTCAAATACCTTAATTTATGCATTACAGGCAACAACGGTGATGTCGCTTGCGATTCATACCACAAAATTGATGAAGATATTAAATTATTGCAGGATTTAGGAGTCGACCATTACAGATTTTCCATAGCTTGGACGCGCATATTGCCAAACGGATTGGAAAATCAGATTAATTCGGCAGGAGTTGCCTATTACGATGAACTTATCACTAAACTGCTGGCAGCTGGAATAGAACCATGGGTATGTATGGAATGTTTTTCTTAAAATCTATCTTCAAAACTACAAATGGACACCAGTTAGAAGAGTAAATTTAACTTGCTTACAGTTCCTAGATGTCCAAGCTAGTAGCGGTATAATACAAATATTATTACGTCAATCATGTTTTCTGGTATTAAATCTACTATACTACAGAACTACTTTGAGTAAGCTCTACTGCTACCTGTTTGTAATATATGCATTTTTAACAAGAGTTCACAGCGCTGATACCAATAATTTTTAAACTCTAGGTCACCATCTATCACTTTGACCACCCCTACGGTGTCCACCTCCTAGGAGGATGGTTCCAGCCGAAGATAGCAGACTATCTAGCAAGCTACGCAGATATACTATTCTCTAAGTTCGGAGACAAAGTTAAAACATGGATAACCATCAATGAACCATATTCGATATGCATTGGCCTTATAGAAGCATTGGGCCCAGACATTCCCCGTGGCATAGCTGAATATATTTGCGGTCAAAACATTTTGAAAGCCCATCTCAACATTTGGGAGGTTTACAATAAAAAGTATAGGGCGAAGCAAAAAGGTGAGTTTCGATTTTGGACTGTATTGGAATCGTTGAAACCTAACTGTATTTTGTGGTGTATAATTTTTAAGTAAACCGTTCAATATTTCAAGTCAGTTGTGATAATGTCAGAGATCCAACTCTTCATCATCTTTTTATTAACAATTTCATCAGTACTAATGTTGTTTTATCACTTAATGTTTTTAAATGGATATTGGTTTCCCATGATGACTGCTGCGTTATCGTTAATATTGTCCCCATTAATAATATTATCTGCGGTGTTATTGATGGTAATAGCCTCGTTATTTATATTGTCTACATCATTAGTAGTAACTTCATTGCCATTCTGTTCTGGAGTATTGTCCCTAGGAAAGATTCTCGCGTTTTGAATGATAAAAACATGATTGGCAATTTTCGATGCATTAAAAGGATAAATGCTACAATTTCTAAAATCTGAAACTCCATTTTTAAGTGTAGCTGCTTCGTCCTTATGCAACATTTAAAAGCGAAGCCAACTGTAATCTATTTAGTTTTAGACCAGGATGGTTATGTGTCCAGTTATTACACGCTTGTGCCGAATAGGTCTTTAGAGGCTTAAAAAATTAACTAACTAAAGACTGTAGCTAGTGAGTTGTATGACTTGGTAAACACAACAGGACGACATCAAGGTTGCAGCTAAATCTAATAATTCCACGCCTGAACAATGTGAATGGCCATCTTGTATGCTGATTTTACTCACTAAAAATAATTAATAATACAATGCAATAGTGCTTGCTAACTTTCATCAACATTCTGAAATGAACACTGCTTCCAACAACCAGTCTAGAAGGTGTATTGTTTCTTGTTTATTTTATTTTATTAAAACACCTTTAATTTTAAATATTTACTATTTATTATTAAGCACAATGACTTACAACGTAAAATGTGATATTGAATTCACTAGTCAGCTTCTTTTGAGCATTCGTCATTGCTTCATGCTCAGGCACATGCCCAGAAAACGCCATGCCGATCGAGCCAAGGGGAAGAGGAAGCGCTATCTATGACAATGACAATCTCAAACAATTATTAGATTACTACTAATCAATGTTTCATCAATATGATACAGAAGATACGAGTACTTGTGCTTGCAATATTTTCTAATGCACTGGTCTGACTTATCTGTCAAAAGAAAAGGTTTATTAAAGTAAAAACTATGGAAACATGATTAAATCTTTTATTAGGCCGATCGCTTGTATTAAAATTTTCATTTTAACTACAAATAAGCATTATAGGATGAGGTATAAATAAAATGTCTAACTCTTGAACCTTTACTGCGTTCTGCAAATTAAATTACTTCTTTCTTCTCTAGGCTTATAGCCAACTATCTATTTTGCTATAATTACGCCACGAATGACAGATTTATGATTAGAATGTCATATGGAATTACGTACAAATTTAAATATAGCCAAAATCTGACCAATACTAACGAAGTTATTTATTATTAAATCGATTTGAGCAAGTGACATACAGATGACAGCTGTAACAAAAATTTTGCGCAGTTACTTGCTGAGTCATTGATAATTTTTTAAGTGAGAAAAGGGCCTTAGTTACAGAAAAAATAACCCTACCATGATGTCGAAGTAAGATGTCCGAACATACTTTGATTTTCTTTTACTATACGGAGAATGGTCGCACTGCGCAGCTTTCTGAGTGCCTTTTAAAAAGAGATAGAAAACTCCGCCATTTTGATCCCTTATTACGTGTTGCCTACATCTTGGCGCAATATTTTTAATAAGTGCGTTTTAATCATCCGCTTCTGCTTCGGAATTGTCGGTTTTCTTGTTTTAATCTGACAGGTTAAAACGACTAAACCGACAATTCCGGAAGCAGAAGCGGATGATTAAAACGCACCTGATATTTTGCTTACTGCTGTCAATGTCAGTGAATATTATTTTTGGAATCACAGTTTATTGCTAAAGAATCAGTTAGCTCACTCGGACTAGTTGAAAGTTCCACAAGTATTAGAAATTAAAAAATAAAAAAACCGACTTCAGAAACCTGCCAAATTTATATGGGACCACCCCTGAGGTACCCCCTTACTAAGAAAAAAAAAAATCATATAAATCGGACAAGGTGGTAAAGCATTATCGCTAAATATACATAAAAAATGAAGAATTTGAGGATTTTCTCATGGACCCAATGATTAGATTTTGACCAAATATATATATGGGACCACCTCTGAAGTACCCCCTTCCTAACAAAAAAGAATCATTGAAATCGGACACCGTGTTAAAGAATTATCGCTGAACATACATAAAAAAAATATCGCGACGAATATAGAACCTCCTCCTTTTTTGAAGTCGGTTAAAAATAACATCCACTCCAGGGATACAAATTCAGGATGTGCAGAAGACTGCTGTTTTATTATAGGCGGTTGTCATATATTGTATTATTCGAGTTGCGCAGTGTATAAACTGGAACATTGAGATCAAAAGTGCCGACGCAGAGTGAGCGATCTGATTCTTTAGCTATAAACTGTGGCATAGGAATCAAAATGGCCGCGCCCTATGTTGGGCGTGTTGGACCTCTTCTCTCTTGCACCGTATAGTAATCAAAGTATGTGGATGTGCGCCATCTTATTCTTTTTATCCCAGACTGATAACTTGATCCATTCAAGAGATATAAGCAAATAATTATAGTTTATTTATTAAGCCTTTTTGTCACTAGAAAATACTTAAATATGTTTGTAGTATGGTATGATATGTAAATAAATTTGTTAATGTTGAAATTTTCTGATATTTTGACATTCTAACCCAAACACTAACTTTTTTGGGGATATAATAGTTTTTCAATAAAAAAATTAAGATTTGAAGTTGACCCCAATCTCATATTCTATAAATTTACATTATTCTAGGTAAATTAAGTATGGCTGTCAATCTACAAGCACATTTGCCTGCAACAGACACACCGGAAGACATTGAAGCAGTTGAAAGACTTAATCAATTTGCAGTAAGCCTATTTTTCTAATTCAAACACTTCAATACCAATCCAATATTTTTAATTTTTAGTTTGGTTGGTTTGTTCATCCTCTGATTTTCGGCAACTACCCCAAAATTATGATCGACACGATAGCAAAATACAGTGAAGAGCAAGGTTATACGGAATCTAGATTGCCATCGCTGTCACCTACAGATTTGGATAAGTTAAAAGGTGCCTACGACTATATAGGTCTAAATATTTATGACACATTTTTGGTATCTGCTGACAATGAGACTATAGACAAAACACCGACTTACGAAAATGATTGTGGTGCTAAGTTTTTTGAGCCAGAGTGGAATACTTCGTATACAATAGAAGTGAGTATTTCCAATACAATTGCTACGTTTGAAGTGTACCTCTTTGAGCAGAGCAAGTAGATTTTTTGGTCACGTGACATCTGAGCAAACCATATCAATGGAGCAAACGAATTATTCCCCCCCCCTCCCTTAAAATGTGAAAATCCAAAAACCTTGAAATACGTCATTATTTACTAATGATGAGTAGCTACAATTTCAATGTTTTTTAAAGGCTTGGTACCGTTTGTGCCGAAGGTAGTACAATACAAAACAAGTAAAAAACGTAACATTGTAGTTTTACTACCATATTCACCCACCCATACACGCACATACGTATATTAAATTTAAATTTAAATACTTACAAAATCACCTTCCGTCAGTCTAGTCACTGGATTCGAACAATACCCTTTGCCACCACGACTTTCACATTCTTCTTCTTAATAGTCACTTAATATCTAAAAACATTATGCCTTTTTTGGGGTGTGACCTGTGTGTTTTTGAGCGTTAGAGAGAGAAGCCTGACTAAAAGTTTGTCATCTCTTATAAGTTGTTAAATACTTCTGTTGTTACAAATTCAGCTAAAATAAAAAGGTCACATTTTGGCTTAAAAATGGGAAAAAAAAAATGGTTAAAACTACATATTATGAACATAAAATCTACTGAATGTTGTAATTTCGCCACAGACGTATCTACCGAAACTACTAATTAATAAAACACTATTGTTTAAAAATTTAGAAGACTGTGATATTATCTATGATAATTTTTGATTTTAGATGAGAGCAAAAGGATTTGGAGTCGTGTTGAATTGGATTAAAAATACTTATGGAAATCCAGAAATACGTATTACAGAACAAGGTTATCCTGAGGATGAATCGGATAAATCTGACCTCGCTGATGTGAATAGACGATCATTTTTATTGGTAAGTTCGTTCATTGTGTACTCTTTTTCATACAAACGAGTTCCCACCTTTAAAAAATCCCATTCCCCAACTTTCCTTCTTTCAAATGTTCATATTTCACTACCACAAAATCATGTCCGATCCTTTGTTCTGTGAAAAACAAAAACCAATTTGTCCCACGGGAACCGTACATTTTTTCGGGGTAAAAAGTAGCCTATTCCAAACTATCTTTGTGCCAAATTTCAAATTTCATCCAGATCCGTTCAGCCGTTCTTGCGTGATTGAGCAACAATAGTAGTAGTAGTAGTAAGATTTGTCTAACGCCTTAGATATGAGAAGCCAAGTTGAAGTAATACACACAGATTTCTCCAAAACTTTCGATAAAATTTGTCATTCCATTTTGCTTCCTAAGCTCAAAGGATAATATTTTTGAATACCATTCGTTCTTTTAAATTGTATCTACTTAAACTTAAAAAATTAATAATTTGCCATGATTTATCTTTGATAACGATTTTGTTTTCTAGGCTAGCATGAAAGAACTCTTGCACGCCATCAACATAGATAAAGTAAAAGTAACTGGCTATACATTTTGGAGTTTTATGGATAATTTTGAATGGAACCGTGGATACACGTAAGTCTAAAAATTTGATTCAATTTTTCGTAGAAACATAAAAAAATGTAGCGGATTATAAATAAAAATACATTCAACTTTTTTCAAAAATGTACCTAGAACAAACTTGATTTTAAATTATTATTAAATCACATCTCCAATCACATAACACAAGCTAATGCTTAAGTATCAAAATTGTAATAAAATAATTAAAAAAATTAATTGTATTGATAAAACGAAAATAAATATTTTTATTGTAGGATTTCAACAGAAATTTATTTTCTTCTCACTTAATATGAGCTCTTTTGGGATTCATTTTTTTTTCAATTTCGCTTAAAAGTTTTTTTCTACAAAGATTCTTTTTGTAATTAATTTAATTTCATACCTATCCTTATTTTAGGAAAAAATATGGATTATATTATGTAGACTTCGATGGAGAAAGCAGACGTAGAATACCGAGATTTTCATCTGAAACATTTGCGTCCATTACAAACAACAGAACTTTGCAAGGATTAGTTTAGTATTTATTTGTATAATGTTGAAATTTAAAAATATACGTGTCTAACCCGTAATTGCTTTCATTACTGTTTGTTTTTTATATACAGCTAATTATACAGGGTGTAGAAACACCTACAACGTTTCAATTTGTTCTGATTGCTTTTAAAGTTATAATTATCCTGAGTAATTATAAATCTCTTGAAACAACGTCTTTCACCCTTAGCGGCATCAGTAGACCAAGCGGTCTGCAACACTCTCGAGATCATGCACATCCTCGTTATCCTGCAAACACCCGCCACGCCACGCCGGAGTTTCCGGGTAATGCACCGGCGGATCGGGAGTTCCGGGTCGAGGAGACGAGAGCGTAGCCCTCAACCTCCCCCACATTCACGACGGCGTCCCGGACAAGGTAAGGGTTAGTAACCTCTCGTGCACTGGGACGTGTGTACACTGTACACGTTCAATTCCTGCAGTTCCAGGTAGGAGCTGGACCCCGCAGGATAATAGCCGGTGATGCTGCTGCTGCTGTTTCCGCTGCGAACTATGTAGACGTTTAAATTTTAAAAAAGATGAATTTGCTAGCGTTGCGGAAAAGTAGGAAATAGTCACATCTTTTGAATAATAGAAGTAATAGAGTGGTAAATAATGCTTTGACTGTTGAAATATGAGCTGGAATTGCTGCTATTTATTTCAGAAATGTAGGAATATTTTATAAATGTAAATGGTTCATCATAGAATAATTAGTGTTTAATGAAATGCATAGCATACATAATTCTCTGGTGAATTCTCATGAGGAAAATATATTGTTATGGATTAGAAATGTAATAGTATGGGTAAAAAATAAATATTGTAGAATTGAAATTAATAATACCAATACCATAACAGAACTGGATATTGTAGACTGCTATTTTTGTCTTTATGATGTTAAAAAAAACCTTAAAGTATATTAACTATCCCAATATTCCGTCAGCAATAAGAATAGTTCCACATGATGCTGATATACCAGAACCTATTCGACCTAAAGTATTGCAGTCTAGTGTCCAATCCGAATCTTCAACAGATACAGAGATTGACATTTTTGAGCCCTCTACTTCAAGAGACAGTGATCCGCAGTAATTTTCTCAATTAGAACTAAATTATTTAGTTAGAAATTTAAAACTTCCAAAAGATCTTGCTAAGATTTTAGAATCTAAGGTAAAAGAAAAAAATGTACTCAATTTTTTTTTTGTGAAAAAACACCCCCTAAGGGGCATTTATTAATATTACAATTTGATCAAGAGTTGATCAATGAGTAATTTTGTTATAACCTAACTTAAGTAGGGTTGCAATCTTAAAAACTAAAGTTGTACTAGGTAGTTTACCTTAGGGTCTGATAACTTAATTACACTAAACTAATGTGTAACACTAAACCGCACAATCACTTGGCTAACTCAAAAGGTTTCACTTTCTTGAGTCTTCTTGTCAAGTTCGTGTTGTCAAGAAGCTGGATCACCTCAACGTTCACATGTTGGTGGAGCCGTTGTTCGTGACTCCTAACGAATCTGGTGATAGTCTCGTCAACAGTGTCCATCTGAAGGTCTCGATGAAGGACGCTGTTTCTAATCTACCAAGGAGCATCGACAATGTTCCTCAATACTTTCTTCTGGAATCTCTGGATTAGAATATTACTGTAGCTGGCACAACCCCAGAACTGAATGCCATAGGTCCAAATTGGTTTGAGGACTTGTTTATATAAAAGAATTTTGTTGTATGTAGATTAGGGTGTTTCATTTTGTAAGTAAAAAAATTAAATGTAAATTTTTGCAGACTTTGCTTACGCCCCGAGTGTCAGTGATGTAAAAGATATGTATGCAAAATTTCAAGAAGATTGGTCAATATTTAGAGGTTGCACACTTTAACCAGTTTTGTAAAAGTATGCAAAAAATACGACTTTTTATTGTTAATTACTTTTATTGTAAAACTATAAATTTCAAACTAAAAACTACACATTAAGATTATTAGGTAATATTATTAAGATTATTAGATAATAGATAGGAAAAACATGTCTTATATTATTCAACTTTAAACGATGTAATCCTTTGTTTAGTTCGCTTGGTGATAACTTTTCTATGATGCTCTATTACCCTCAGCAAAAATTGTTTTTGTTTTTCATCTCTGACCCATTCGTTAAATTTCTTTATTACAGCAATTCCTCTTTCTGCGGTATCATTCACTACCTTAAGAGCGTCCACTTGACTTATTAGAGAATCACTAAAATATTCTGTTACGTTATGGATCCCAAACAATTTAAAGGGCATTTTTGTTTTACTAGTGATGAAATGGCTCAGGTCTTTTCCTTCAAAAACTAAGTTTTTACCATCTAATCGTTTCATTCGGAAGTTGGGGTTCTAAATGTTTAGTCATATTTGTCTTTTCAATCTGACTAATACGTTCATCCAAAAAAGCTAATCCTACGTTTCTTTCTGACAGATACCACAGGTGTCTCTTAGCAACAGTAAGAGCACTTTTTTTGACGTCTATATCTGGGTAAATATTCAGAAGCTGCAGCATATCCAAATCATTTTTTTGAAGCCCATCAACTTACAATTGCTTCGTGCCAAAAGCGAACATGTATGAGGCTGACAAAATGTGCGACCCTTTTCATTCCTTTTAACTCTTGTTGAGGCATATTAAACACTAGTGAAGAGAACAGTTTTAAGTGCATAAATTGCTTTTGCGATTCACCTTGCTTGATGCAGAGCTCCTTACCAATTATATTGTCACTTAACCAAAATCATTGCACTTCCCGAATAACTACTTCCGCCATTTGCTCACCGGTGCCTTTCGCGGCAACATGTACTCTAAGCAAATGCTTTAAATCTTTTCCAGTCACTAGAACTGCAACTCTATCTTCCAAATTTTGACATTTCCATGGGCAACTGAGGGCAATAATTTACTATCTCAATGCAAGACCAAAGGAGGAGAAATTTCAAAAAGCTTCCCTTCGATTTTCCTTGCCATTTTTCTTTTATTAACCACCCGAACTCGGTAAGCGGTGGATGGAAATACGAAAATTTTTGAAACATTGTGGCCGAGGCTCTTTGAACTTACTCTAAAAGAAGTACTTGCTTAATAGAGAGTTATTCTCGATCCCAAATAAACGTGAGTGTTTGATCCAAAGGTTTTATTCTAGGACTTGAAGGTAATTTTTTGCTGGAATCAAAATTCGTCTTCTTTGCCACTAGGAGCGGATGATGATGAAGATAAGTCTTCCAGTATTACTGTCTTATTCATTTGAGCTATAGCTCTGTAAGGTTTATTCTTATATGAATCATTTTTGTCTTCTTTTGTACATTTAGTTCTTATTTTGGAGACGAAAACCTTGTCTACTCCAGTCATTGATGAACTCATTCGGTCTTCTCTTTATGATCTAAGAAATGGTTTATCTTCTTTCGATAAACTTGTCATTTCCATCACATTTTGCCGAGAAATATCAAGTAACTCGACAAGAACACCTTTCCAAATCAGCCGTTTCATGTTAGCTTTATCGGTGTTTCTAGATTTCTCTTTACCTAGATTTTGGAATTCTTTGTATAGTTTCTGTATACCAGCGCGTATATTCTCCTCTATCTAACAGAAATACTTGCTTTCCTCCACACTTCCTGTAGTTTAGTACTGGTAGATTTAGCTGCTTCCAAAAGTGTTTCTTTCATATCCTTCTGATGGTAAATAAAAACTAATAGTACTTGTTCCTTTGAAGGGAGCCGAGCTCCTAAAAACTCACCAACAGGTACCTTTTCTAGCAAGCAAATTCCTCTTTGGGTTCCCATTTTGAAGCTCAATTACTTGCAAAAGATAAAAGAAATACGACATGTAAAGATCAAAGATCACTAGTACAAAACAAGTCAATATTATAAATTTTACGTTTGTGATAAAAGTGATCAATCTTTTTGAAATTTGGCATATATATATTTTTTTTTATCACTTAGACTCAGGGCATAAGTAAAGTCGTATGAAAATAAAATCTTTGGAAAAATGATAGGCTGGAATGCCTACTAAGTAACCAGTATATTTTCTTGAATTTTATATCTAACTCTTGTCTTTTCTTTTTAACATGGACCTTCCAGCGAAGTCTTGCATCCAATGTAATACCTAGATATTTTGCCGAGTTAGCATAGGGACCTGAGCATCATTTATGTTAATTGGTATTCTTTGACCTTTTTTGTTAGTAAAATTAATATTAACAGATTTGGTTTCGTTTAGTTTAATACGCCATCTTTTTGTCCAATTATTTATTTGATTAACTGATGTTTGTAGTTTATTTACAGCCTCTTAATGATTTTTGCCTATCGCTAGGATATCAATATCATCTGCAAATATAGCTATCGTGTCTTGTTCTAGTTGGGGTATGTCACAAGTGTATAACAGATACAAAGTGAGTCCCAGGACGCTTCCTGTGATACTCCTGCTTTAATTTCTTTTAATTCAGAGTATGTTTCACCTTGTTTTACTCTAAAGAAGTTATCCGAAATGTATGAATCCAATAGCTCTGAGTATGGCTGTGGAAGTAGCACATTCTGTTTATGTTTTAAACCATCATGCCATTACTTTATCAAAAGTCTGCGCAACATCGAGGAAGATGGCTGAATAGACTTCTTTGTTTTCTAATGCTTTTTCAATCGCATTTAATATTCTATGAACCTGGTCTATAGTTGAATGGTTTTCTCTAAAGCCGAACTGGTAATCTGGAATTAGTTTTCTTTCTTTAATGATGGGTTTGAGTCTTTTTATTGGTATTTTTTTAAATAGTTTCGATATTATAAGCAGTAGAGATATAGGCCTATATGACGAAACATCGTTCGAAGGTTTTCCTGGCTTGGGGATCATAATGACTTTCCATAACCTAGGGACATACTTCAGTTTGAATGAGGCATTAAACAGGTGTGCAAGTTTAATTATGGCTTTCTTCGGAAGTTGTCTTAAGACTTTTCCTGTAATTAAATCAAAGCCAAGAGCTTTTTTAGGATGAATATTTGTTTTTATATCTTCTGCAATTTCCTTTGGAGAGGTTGGTCTGATAATTGAGTTATCTCTCTTTAGAGGAGCCCAGTTCGGTAATTCTTCTCCTACAGTTGGTTGGAAGGTATTTTGTAAGTGCTCTGCGAATCTATTAACTCTTTGTATATTATTTCTAGCCCAGCTGCCATCTGTATTTCTGATTGAAGCATTCTGCACAGTGGACCGACCTCATTAATCGCTTTGTGGCCTTTCGTAGAGAATAATCAGTGGATTTATCGTTTGTCAAGTCACTAGGTACTTACAAATAGATTCATTTTTGATTCGTTTTATCTCTCTTTTTAACTGCTGGGTGGCGTTGTTAAGTTTGGTTATCTGATGGTGCTTTGGTCTGATGCCATTTCTTCCTTAGTTTTCTTAGGTCTCTTATTTCCTTAGGACAGTTATTTCCTGTTGTTCGCTGCACAATAGGTGGCTGCGTATTGTATGTTGGACATAAGTAGCTCTACTTCATCTAGCTGTGCTTTTGTTCTTAATGGAACTGAAAGATTGATTTTATTTTCAAGATCCAGTTTGAAGCTTTGTCAGTCTGTTCTCCTATTTATCAGTCTAGGAGCGCTTTCCTTTTGGATAATGGTGTCACTAAGAGTGAGAAGAATGGGCGAATGATCTGAATTCATGTCCCACGCCTCATCAACTTGGATGTAGTTTGCTGAAATATTTCGAACAACAAAAAAGTCTATTAGGTCGGGTATTTTGTATCTATCTGTTGGCCAATAAGTTGGTTTGCCAGTTGAATACAACTCACATTTTAACTATGTCATTGGTTTAGGTTTTTACTTTTAGTTGTTAGTCTGGAGCCTTAATAGGCGTGTTTTGCATTAAAGTCGCCTACAATGATAAATCTAGGTTCTTGACTATTAAGGAAATCTAAGTATTGTTCTTTTTTAACGCTATGTCTTGGAGGACGATATACATAAGTGACCATAAGATCAGAAGTTTTAGATTTAATCATTACTAAAGTAGCCTGATATTCTTCAGTCCTGTATCCCGCTTCTTTATAATCCTTAATTCCGACATTTTCTGGTTTTATTTACCCAGAAATATCTTAGCCTGTCTTAGCCCCAAAAGATTGTTTCAATTATTGGTTCTTCTACTGCCCAATTCTTTTTTAATCTCTTCTAATATTATGTTACTGCTGACACAGCAGAACGGAATACCGAACTAGTAAACTTTATCTCTAAAAACGGTAAGTTTTAATTTATTTGCCTTTTAGTTTCATAACATCTCAGCAGACCTACAAATCAACCATGTTCCTCGTATGAACTTCATTTTAGTAATGTCTTATTTTTCAGAAAAATAACTTAAAACAAATATTCAACAAAATTATATTCTACAGGGACATTAGTTATGGACGCTTTGGCTAAGAGTAATACCACAAAATAAGATTTTAAAGTGACCAAACTGGAAAAAAGTAGGATTAGTATTAAACAGAGTATTAAATATAGTAGACAAGTATTTATTAATTTTTTTAAATGAATTTCCATCAAGTAAATAGGCGGCTTAAACAAGTCCAATGCGGTTTGTCTTAAAGGTACCTATTTAGATTTAGATATTCTATTGACTATTTTTTAAGCAAACGAATATCTCTTACCATTATAGAGATTGAAGATAATCACTATCTTTATTTATTTTTTCTTTTAGACACCATATTTGATTTGCAAATCTTAATTTTCAAAAATGTATCACAACACCGCATTTTCTTTCAAATTTTACAGCTGTGCTTCACAAGGTCTAGTAGGCGAGTCAACAATTTAACTTAGAACTGTCAAATTATAGTTGGCTTAATTTGTATCATTTCCATTGCATTTTATTTGATACCTTCACCATTTGTTTACAGAACGATCAGTCTTCTTGTTTTATGGCAGCATCTTTTATACTTACAGGTCTTTTGTGCAGTAAAAAAAAACAATTAAAATTGTTAATGTGCACCAACAGCTTCTCGGTAATTCTCAATTTCTCACCCCTGCACATCCGCAGCTAGTTTCAGAACCGAATTTCAATTTAAACTGGAAAACTTTGGTAATCAAAGTTCTCGCGTTTATCGATTCGCCATTAAAAGCTCTAACAGCACTTAAATCGGGCATTCGTACTTACCGGAATCGTCTAAAAATTCGGCTGCGCCTCCTATTTAGAGACAATACGTTTCTGACTAGTTTGTTTAGTCAACGCGAATTCCAGTCGAAACGAGCAACATCCATCAACGTCATTTTGTAGTAATAGGAATAGTTGAGCGTTAGGCGCTTCTCGAGGAAATCGCATGGGGCTCGAAAGGGGGGTAATGGAGGTGAGGGAAAACAACGGAGGGCGAGAGTAATGTGCGTGTATATTATATTACGTGAAGTTTATCTTGATGGAAGTATAAATCATTCCTGGGTATGTTTGTCCCTGATTATTTTACAATGTGACAAGCTAAGACGAAGGACCAGGATTAGGGATAAAAACAACCGAAATTATCCTTTGTCGCAGTTTGATGTGCCGGGTTTGTATATAAA